ACTTTTTTAACATTTGTATCTGTTTTTCCTGATTCACTAAACTACGTTGGAGTCCATTTTTCCATGCCTTTTGTGCAAGCTGAAATTTGATTAGGAATAGAATTAATAATGCAAACTTGTGCTATGAATTCTTCAAGGAGGACAGAGCTATGGGAGAGAGAGGACCAAAAGAAGTTATTCAGTATATATGAGGATTTTTTTTCTTTTAAAGGTTTTTGGCTTATATTGAAAATGCTTGCTCCAGTGCTGTGAGAAGGTGTCAGAAATAATAAAAATAGTAGTAACAGCAGTGGCAGTAAAACTTCAGGTATTTAATTTGAGATATAGAGAGTGCGGTCTACTGGTGGCAGATTCAGTTCATTAAAGGTAGCTGATTAATAAGTTAGGTGGATTTCTATAATAGGAAGAGATATTTTTGCTTGCTTTTCTGTCTGCCTTGGATCTGAACTAATGTAAGTGGATGTTGAAGACATCTAGTGAACTTTCAGATGTTTACACCAATATTTTTCCAATGCATAAAATAATCAGGTTCAAGGGAATTTCCCTACATGTCAAGATAGAGACAACTACAACATTTATACAATAAATTGTTCTTCATGTATAAATAGATGCATATGTTACTCCTAGTGATACAGTTTTTAATAATTAAAATGTCTTTCTGTATTTACTAGAGTTGAAGCAAAATTAGTTTTTATAGCTTGGTAATTTTATGGTTCTAAATGTGTGGGCCTTCCTAAAATACTGTAAACTAGAACAAAAATTTATATAGGCTGTACCACCCCAGAATAAAAACTCTATTGTAATGATCCTGCAAGATGATGCATGCATAATATCAGAGCCAAAGTTCCAGTGGTATTCTGTGGTTTTCTTTTTGCAAACCTAGTTCCTAGGAATTTCTAAAATAGAACATGTTTACTTTATTAAGGCTGTCACTGCCAACTTGTTAATATTTTCAAAGATAACATATTTAATTTGGGGTATATTTAAAATAGTTGCTTCCTTAAATTTTAATCTCTATAGTTATTAAATAAAAGAAGAAAACTGGCAAACTCAGTCCATCAAGTGGTTTTTCACCTCTGACAACAATAGCTGTGTTAAGGGCCACTGAATATGAGTACTACTGAAGTGGTTACTATATTGACATCTTTTTGGTAAAGTATCATCTTATGTGCCTAAAGACTTATTGTCAAGACAGATAAGAATGCTAGAGTATTCTGTCAATCCATTTGGAAATTTCTGTATTTTTTAATTAAAATCTGCTTTTAAAACCTGATACAGAGTATGAGTTAGAAAATAACAAATTACTTAATATTTTACTCATTAAGCATTTGTTTAATCTTTATTTTACAGTAAATAAAGAGAGGTATACAGAATACACATATCAAATGCATAGAGGCTGTATACTAATAAAAGCTAGAAAATACAAGTTTGAAATCTAGTAACTACTGTCTAGTTGCTTATATTAATTAAATTATATTTAAGCACCCTATATGTAGCAGTGCGAAAACAAGATTCAGGATGTTTATTTATAAAGCTCAAGCTCCAAAAAGTGAATTTAGATATTGAGAACAGGCCATATGGGATTTCCCTCTCTCTTTTTCCCTTACAGTGAACAACTGAATCCATAGTGTGTCAAAATGGTATCACAAGCTACTTTTTAAAGTAACTTCACTTTCATAAGTAGTTTGCTATGCAGGGTGGAAATGGAGGAAGAAACACAGCCTATCCCTTTCTGCATGAGGCATGTAGAACTAGATAAGGAATTTTTTGGGATCCTAGCCAGGGTTTTCTACTCACTGGTCATGCTCTGTAGAAGTGTGGAAGTCTTTCTGTACTCTTAGTGGACTTTAGGTTTATTATCCCAAATAGCAGCTCCCATGCCATACAGTAAACTGTTTTTGAAATTTTCAAAGCCTATTTGTAATATGTCTAGTCCAGGAAAAGAAAATACTAGGTTAAAACAAGCCACTTCTGTGAACCTAGGCAGATCTTTGGATTCAGCTAATAATGTGTCTTGATTGTAATATTGCATACATAGATTCTGATCCTCAACCACTAAGTTCTAGAAAGTAAGAAAACTGTTTCTAACAGTTTGTAGATTATATGTTAGAAACGTGAGGTGGGTCGTGTCATCCATTATCCCTGTGGAGGAAGCAAAAAATCAAAGCCTTTCATTCTATATTTGTTATGTGGCTGTGTATTAGAGCCTGAAATATCCGTTCTAAACATGCTTAATTGGCAATAAGTTCTGTCATAATAAATGAGATCTCCCACATAAAATGCATGCTTAGAATTAGAATGTGAAGGCACTATCCTGGTGGTATACTTTATATATGGTATTGTCTCAAAATGTATTTGTGGGGTGTTGCAGGTGCACTCCTTTGTGCAAACCTAATGTATATATACATGTATATTCCTATGGATACACATACCATACATGCATACATTTCTGTAATGTGCTAAAAGGCATGTATATTACCTTCCAAAGGCTAAGATCAAGGATATACTGAGCAATTCTGGTCAAATCATTTTGACAGTTAATCATCTTTTCCTGAGAAAGGGATTGGCATTTAGCCTGATTTTGCTTTTAAAAAAATTAGGGTGGAGACAGTGAGTGGCTCATTTTTATGTAGGCCCTTTCATTGGAAGTTCTGCAACTACATCAGATTAAACAGTTTTTATTTGTAGCTGTAATATTCTGGAAGGAAACAGTGTAAAGAACACAGAACTTTAATGCTAGTCATATATAAGAAATGCATATTCTGTTTTATATCAGTGAAGGGCATGCTCTCCTTTTGCATGCTGTTTAAGCAATTCTGTCAACATGCTCCTTGTTTTGTTATAAAAGAATAATGCATACATAAGTGCTCAGGGAGCTGAAAGTTGAGGTGGAAAGAGAATGTTGTAAGATGTGAGATGAGTTAATTACAGATCAAAATAGTGGTGCACCATTTAAAGTATTAATATTATTGAAAAGTCCTTATTTTTCTTGCAAATTTTCATCATATGTGTTTTGTTTATCTGTAGTATATACATAAGAAGAAACAGAATTAACCATAGATAAGTTTCCCCTTCCATTTCTGAATAACTGCAGAAATTAAACATATGTTGTCTTTCATTTTTCTCGTTCTTTCATTTTTCATCTTCATATTGTCCTGTTTCTGAAGACTAATAAATACAGCTGAAGGCATCATATTTATACTTTTTTCCAAGCGTAATAGGAGCGATGTTATCTGCTGTCAAGGTATTGAGGGACTGTAACAGAAATACTCTCTTTGGATATCATTTATGATCCAAAGTACTCATGATTAATTAGAAATACATATATTGGTTCTGATAAACATGCTGGTAACATATCAGTGATAGTTGTTTTGTAATGTCAGGATGAAGTTATTATTTCTCTGTTTATTCTATTGGAAATGCACAATGATAATAAAGAAGGAAAATATTAAGGTGGCTGTTCTCTTAACACATGGCTGTGAAGGTAAAATGGCTGGCATCTGGCAAGTCTGAAAAGAAGTTAAGAGGAAGGAATCAGTCCTTATATCAGTTGATATGACCCAGTATAGTAGCAACTCATTTATCTGCCAGTAGTATTTATACGTTGATGACAATCGTATCTTGAAAAAAAAAATTAATTGAAGCCAAGTATTTGTACTCTTTACTATGATAATACAGATCTTTATAAATAAGGTCAAAGGCATAGGTTGATCCCATCTTTTGAAGACAAAGAATAGTTGCTATGAAAACAATATTTATTTAAAAAGCTCTACAGTAGGTTATTCAGATCCTGGCTGCAAGAATCCTGATGACCACTGGATAACAGCAAAGTGATATAGAAAACCAGCTGCTTGCTGCAGTTTAGTGGTCATATGGATTGCTGCGGTCCAGATCTGAATGCCATACTACAGTCAGACGCTATATTAATAAGGTGCCTGCAGGTCTTAGAAGAATATAATTTACAAATGTCTCTCATTACAAAAGATTTGTGAATTTGCCAAGCTATTGCCAGAATTTCAAGTCCAAGGCACTTTAAGGAAGCAAGAAAATGTAAAACTTGTGTAGCATTTGGGTCTGGAAAAAAAGCAATGGAAAACTTTTGTTATTGCATAACATAGCATGGGGAAATGTCATTATATTGGTGACATGAAAATTAAATTTTTCGGTGCTGCCTTTGAATGAGAAGTTTCTCAGTCAAATCTCAAATCTGTCATCACATACCCACATTTTGCCTATCTGCAGTTACACTCAACCCACATGCTGCTACAATCAGTGTCTTTAAAAGTGGTCCTTAATTATCCCCAAGCCACCATTTCATGCAGTTCAGTTTATTCCTATTCACTCGAAAGTAATTCCTACTGCTCAGTGGCCTTATTCCCAGGCAAGTTTGCATAGTATTTCAGCCTTAAGCAGTTAATTATTTTCAAATGTTTAATTCTGCAACTTGCAGACTGCAGCTAATTTTTGCCAGGTTCCTTTTATTTTAAAATATATATATATATTTGTATTTTAGAAAAATAAACAATACCTAAGACAGTGCACTGAAAAGCATGCTAAACAAAATTCTGTTTGTAATCTATATAGCCCTCTTAATAGGTTAATGTTTTGGGGGGGGGGAGTTAACTGTTAGAAATTTAGGAAGGAAACAAAAGATTATCATCCTGGAGGCATTCTTTAGAGTTGTGCATGTGAGAGATTCCTGTATTTCTGCAGCCTTAATTGGCAATTGATTTTTCAGGTCCCAAAGATGCTGTATCCTTTAATAATTGTCACTATTTTCATTTGTTAAAGAAGACTTATTTATGTAGAATTCTACTTGGGGTGATGGTTGTGCTGTTATCCTGTACTTAACCTATATTAGAGCAGGCATTTTAATCTCTTTGCACTTACAGTTCACCTAGTACATTTTATATGTTCTTAGAAAATACTTAATATGGTATAGTTCTAGTA